CCATCATCACCACCCAGCTCTAAGACACTGAAACATGGTTCTGTAGAGTTTAAGGATATGAGAGGAATGCTTTTCAAAACTACTACTACTTTATTTATAAACCCCTTTAAAACAACCACAGCTGCAACACACCTGGTGACTTCTTGACTTATTAATTCAATTTAAAAATATTTTATTCCTCCCAAAGGGAAATGACATGCTGTAACTCATCATCAGTTTCATTAAAGAGATGTTCTAGATGCTGAAGGCTGTGTGCAGGAAGGATCTCTTGTCCTACAGCAGATCTGAAGAAGCCTCTGACTGAAGACACTCTGTTGTTGTATGACAGTCTGATGAAGAGGATGCTGAGGGTTGTCTTACGCTCGTCTTGTCTTTAAGTAGTTCTGGAACCTTTGCTGGTCTTTAAAACATGGCTTGACCAAGATCACTTATTAACAAAGCTTTCATTTAGAAAATTATATTAAGGGATGATCAAACTCAAACTAAAGGCCTGACTTTTATAGACCTTTTTAAAGCCCAACAATCAAACTTTATGACCTACAGCCATATACTGAAATGGTTTATTGTAGAAGTCACAGGACAGGAAATAATCATAATTTCCACCATCACACACATAAGACCAAGCTTTTCTTGAAATTCATATCACCATCAAACCAAATCATCAGGATTTTAAACTAAGACAATTCATCTTTGAGAAATGATAGTCGTAGCTGTTTTGTTTAAACCTTCAAAATACCATCATGTATGATTTATTTCAGTATCAGGAGATGGCATATTTTAGGTATGTGTTGTGTGAATTACATACATTTTAGATTTAATATGTATAAAACTGACGGGGTTCTAGCTGTTTTTGGGTTGGTTTATATCAGATAGCTCGGCTTGTATTCATTACCCACCATTCGTTCTTGCCGAAATCGGACGCTTCTCCCCTCCCTCTCCGCTTTGCTGCTCTGTCTGTCTGTGAAACTGCTGTGAGCCTCTCTTGCATTTCTTCAAAACCATAATTATGGACTGTTTTGATCAGTTGGTCCCTCAACTCAATTTACAACATTTCTTCGAAGAGAAGACAGGCTTTAGGCGAGCCGATTTACCCTGTTGGCACGTACGCAGCTGGATATCTCATTGACTGGAAGACTTGATGATGTGTCTATCTCTGCTGCCATCTGTGGATTTTAAGGACACATATTTAATTGGATTTTCGATAACTGGTTCCTGCTTTTTGGATTCGGCTGGCTACTGGTTTTTTCTACAATCAAGGAAGTCGTCAGCAGCAAATTTGGACCCGATCATGCTGCTTGCCTTTATGATGGCTTGGTTCGTGTCTCGAGTACCCAGACTCAAAAGCTTTGGGCTGAATGGATCAGATCTCTGGGATTTTATTCAGTCACGTTCCAACAGTGTGACCATGTAATTTGGACATTTCGGAACAGAGTGGACCAACACAGACTCAAGGTAGATGTCATTAAGTTCTGCCTGTCCCCAAAACAATTGTGTGTTTATCTGAATTTGGCTCCCTTGGCTGTCCTTGAAGGCCATCTTATCTGAATTCACCTGGAGAAAATGTGATCTGACGCTCACCACCCCCTCCCTGAGAAATTTCCAATTGATAACCAGATGAACCAGCTGAATAAACTTTGTGTCATCATTTCAGGACTCTTGGATTCTCATAGATGTTATTCTTGGCCATTCTTCGACATACCTCGAGAATGTTTACGGATCTCACCGGAGGACATTGACTGATTATTATATCCTTATCAGAGTCAGAGTCAGAGTTTCTTTATTGTCATTCGCACCTCATGTGGTACATGTGGTGGAGCGAAATTATGTACACAGGGTCCCAGAACTCTTACAGTGACCTCGAGAGCATCTATGGACATTTCTCACCGCTCTCGTTTCCCCCCTCTGCAGAATGTCTATGTCACTATGTGCTTGTTTGTGCGAGGTGTTTTTTAATATCAGAGATTTTTCTTCTCAGCCAAGAAGAAAAAGTCTGATAGGATTTTTTTTTTGCCTCCAAATCCTACATGTGTCCAGTTTCAGTACTTTTTGTCTGTCTAAACAGATCTCACTTGTAAATGAGTCTTCTAGGCTCAATGTGACTTATCTGTCTAAATAAAGGTTGAATGAATGAAAACAAATGAAAGGTGAAGCAATATATCTAGTGAATTCTTATCATGAAGACTTTTGTAGCTAAAACTTGTCCCTGACACATGGTACTAACAAACTGTGTTGTGTCTTTAAGCTGTGGACCTTGACAGATTCACTCAGACTAAAGGGCCTTGCATACTCCATCCGAAGAGGTGAAATCGTCTTTCAATGGTGTAGTTGTGTGACGAATATCACACTGTTTTGTTAACAGAGCAGCTTCGCCCGCTCCTTGTCGACACCAGGTCCGGACCAAAATTTTTCTCACAGGTGTGCCCGTCAAGTATTTTGTTGGTTAGAGGTTTGTGGGCATGTTCGTCAATGTGGAAATGCGCTCGGGCACTTGTATGACTCTTCAAACACAAGCAGAACTGGTTTGTTCCACTTTGGAGTAAGCTGTTGGAGGAAGAATCAGTTTTGTGTTGTGTGTTTCTTTGACTGATGAAGCCTTCTGGATGGAAGGTGAAACGTTTCAGCACAAAAAGTCCAGATGAGCTGACTGAAAAATATTGGATTTTATACCTGGATTATTGAGCATGGACTTTTTTTGACTCTTCAAACACACTAAATTAGTCAATGGTCAGAACCTCCTGGATGGAGATATTGTGCAGACATTGTGTTTGGAGGAGTCTTTCTGATGAAAAGTGTGGTGCTTTCTTCATGAAAGATTTGTGGCCAAACGGCAGATGCATGGATGGAGTTGAGACCTTGGTGGGAAGAAACCCTTGTGGTGACGTATGGTACACCAGGAGGGGTTTACCAGAAGCTCTGTGTCTCGTGAACTTTGAAAGGTGTGTGAGAAAACAAACGTTCTGCAACCATGTGACCGTGAGTCAACTGTTCGGCTTTGGTTTTAGTACGTCGGGACCTTCAGCCAGTGAGGACTACGTCCACCCTGTTGGACATCCTGTCACAATAACACCAACTAGCTCCAAATATCAACTTTTACCCTCATCCATGTTTTTTTCTTTCAGCTTCAAAATGTGAACTGGTCATTTTACTGGATGGTGTTGAGCAAGCACATCTGTGTAGCTCAAAGGTGTCCACAGAGGTGTGTTCAGTGGGCTGGTGTGGGTCAGAATGTTTTTAGGAAAATACACATTTTCTGCTTTGTTTAATTTGATACTCAGCCATGCTGTCTCAGCTCAGAGCCTTCCTCTTTAGGTGTGAAGTCAAACTACAAGAGGCCTGCAGGGGTACACATGGTCAGCAGCAGATCGTCATTCAGAAAAAGAGTCTAACATAAGCCTGGCTAAGTGCTGAGCACATCTGAACAGGTTTATAAAATAGTTTGTCTAGGTTTTGGTTAAAAACTCTGTTGATGCACTCTGGTTTCTGATCTGAGCACCAGCTGGATCCAGCAGAGACACAGACCTGATAACATCATCCGCAGCAGACAGTTTACATCGCTTTCTAAATCGTGAGAACACAGTCTGAAACTGAGAAATGCTGTAACCACCTTAAACTTAATTCTACCTTAAGTTGTCCTATGCATGCTCAGTAGTAACAAGGTTGAGTCAGGTCATCTGGACAGATTATTTTTTGTTGAAATGTCAACTTGGTCAACAAAGAAGAATCCGTCCAGTGGACCTGACTCAACCTTGTTAGAGCTACCGTAAGTTTCAACCACATTTGCAACTAAGAAGTTGTACTGTTCTTAGTATGTGTAAAGAAATCTGCTGACTGCCAGTTTGAAACCAAATGATAGGTAATGTGAGGGATTGCAGCAGCAGAACAAGGTTGAGTTGGCATAAAAGAAGAAATATTGTGTTGAGGGTTTGTGGCTTTTCTGTGCTCATATGATGTATCTCTGACTTGCCTACTTCTGTATTTCTTTGTGCACAGGTGCATTAACCAGTAGATGTGCTTCTTTTGTCCAGTTAAACATGCTTAGACCAGAGTTTGTTTCTGGTGCTGTGTGGTGGGCCACAAACATGGATGTTTTCTCAGTGGCTCTGGCACCTGTTGCATAGAAACGTGAATGCATGTCTTTGTAACATGACACTGCATTGTTTACACTTGCCATACAAAATCATCATTAAATCTAAGTGCTCAGCAGAGCATCCCTTCTGCTTTACAGGAGGCCGCTGTCCCGAGCTTCTTCTGTGTTTATCATTTGTCAGGTGTAGATCTTGCGTCTGGTGTCTTATTCTTCCATCCGTCCATTATCTTTACCTGCTTCTAAGGCATTTACCGGTAGACTTCAGGAACAGAATGTCAAGAACATTTTGTAGTTTTAACACTACAGCATACCTTAAAACCAGTAATCTGCCATGTCCCAGTCAAACTCTTTTTTAACTTAAGGAGAATAATTATTTTGTGGGAGTTCATTTAGGACATTTCAGCAGTTAAACACCACTTACAAGTTGCAGAGGCAGCATAAGAGCATTGCTGTCACATAGTGTCGTACGTTTGACTTGTGAAGTTGTGGTTAAAGTAACAACACCCTTACCCTTGGACTTTTGGCCTCCCAGCCCAAACCACTGCCTTGGACTGTATCTGTATAAGGTCTGTACCTTGGCAGCCATGGCAAGTAAGCTTTCATAAACAAGAACAGTGTACCTGGATCCAAATAAAAGATTAGACGATATGCAACAGGGATCTAACAAGCAGTTCTTGTTATGAAGGTTGAGGGGTGAT